GGGTGGTCGGTCTCCGTCGCGATATCTAGGAAACGCGATAACTTGGCGTCTACGACCTCGAGTACGCCGGTCAACGACGCGACGATGCGATTGACGCATAGCTCAAGAGTCAACAGCGCCTTCATGGTGGAGTGCGACATAGCTATGCGATTTTTCGGCGTCTCTAATCGCAACGTTTTTAGATTGTTTATCTTGCCGAATAAAAGCGTCACGGACGATTATGGACGTCGGAGGATGCGTCACAGCCTGGGCACGTCCAAGTCGGTTTCGAAATACGGTAGTACGTCGTTGCGCAGAGTGAGCAGATCTTTCCACATGTCGGGCGTCAGAGATATCTCCTTTCCATGGCAGTCTCCTAGAACGATATCGACTTGAGATTCGCGCTTCACGACGACAGCGATGTCGATGTACTTGTACACCGTTTTGGTCAGCGGATATCGTCTTCCCAATATGCGAATCAGATATTTCGCGAAATTGATTTCGCGTTTGAACAGCCAATTTCTAGTCCACCTGTCGAGATCAGAAAAAAAAGTCGACGCGTTATCGTGACGGAAATCGAAACTCGAGCGCTCGGGCGAGATAATTCACGAAGCGTCGTGTATACTCATTCGTCCTCGGTGTACAGTCGAGCTTTCTTGATCACGAGCAGGGTGTCGGATCGCGGGAGGTATCCTCGTCCTTGGCGAAAGCCGGGTAGTCGTCTCGACGGTTAGGCGAGAGCGGCGGGGTGACTAAGGGGCTCGCTGTCGGCGGCGCCGACGGAGTCGCGGGCGTCACGGATGGATCCCCGAATACTCAGCGGTACTCCTGTCCGAGTCCCGCGAACATGATCGGTCTCGCGAAGAAGGATTCGATGCTCGTCGGAAACACGGCGGCGGCAGCGGCGGTGTCGTTAATGTCGGTTATCGCGAGGAGAGAGATAGATTCGTCGGAGACACTCGCTTAGATTCGGACGCGCGTTAATCTGGAGTATCGCGGGAAATATCGCGCGCAGCGATCGAGACGCGTCTTATATACGCGATTTCGATCGCTGTTTCGATATCTTTTTTTCTCGACGTACACGTTATGCGCGTTAATTAATGCAGCGGAAGCGATTTAGAATAGCATGTTAAATGTAATCTTAATGTTAGGTTTCAGGATTTCCTGATCTTAGTCGTCGTCGTCATCGTCGTCATCGTTGCGCGGTCTTTCGAAAGACGCGTATTCCAGACGATAAAGCTTGGAGACGAGTTCGCTCAATCGATGCAGAATGCCATCGGCGGGGCATTCTATTCCCAGTATACGAAGATCGAAGGGATCGGCCGAGGTTATCGCGTCCGTGAATTCGTTGTACGCGTAATACTCGCGTTTTTTCAGGAAATAGAGATTACCGTCGGCGTGGCGGAAGGCTGCCGTTATCGCGGCCGGTATCCTGGGAAACGTATCTCACAGAGCGCCGTGCCTCGTAGCGGTCATCGCGCAGTCGTTTATCTCGGTTATTTTATCGTCGTTGTATATGATGTAGCTACGTCCAGCGTGCGTGTTTATTGCGGCGTTTATCCTAGCCTTGCGCGGAAATCGGACGTATTCGACGGATCTCGGCCATCCTGCTTTAAGTTGAAAATTCGAATCGGCGAGGTAGACGGAGTCGCCGGCGAATATCGTGCCCGAGGGTCTATGATACATGGCCGATATGCGAGTGAGATTGCGGGGGAGAAACTTGAAGTAGTCGGCGAACGAGAAGGGCGCTTTGTAGCGTCTCTCCCTCATATCGATAGGCCATACGTTGCATTTACGCGCGACGTACAAGCGATGATTCATGATTAACGCTTCGTCTATGCGCGTCAAGGCGCATAGATCCACGGTATTGGCGGGAGCGAGCGTCGTCGTAGCCGTCGTAGTCATCGTCGTCGCCGCCGCGATCGTCGGAGTAGCGCCGACGATCGTAGGATTCGCGGTCTCTCTCGATCCGTAAAGATTTCGCGCGTTGACGTCCTCTATGCTCAGTCTAAGCGGATATCGCCTTTCCTCCGAAGGCGTATACACGTACATGACCGAATCTTCCCTCAGACTGAATCAGACGCAGAGTGTGACCGATCTCATGCGTCAGCGTTTGAAGGAGATACAGCTTATCCGACGGCGGTCTCGCCAGCGTGATGTGCCATGGCTGTCTCGTCGACGTGTATCTCCATGATTGGGCGCTCCTGTCAGAAAGAACACGTAAGCGACGGCCGATTCCGGAACGGCAACGCGCACGAATCCCCGTTATCGCTGTTCTCGTACATGTGAGGACCAGCTTGATAGGATATCATTATATCGAGTCGCAGCGTGTCGCGCGAGAACGTCAGGAAGGATTGCTCGGACCATAGATCGAACGCGCTCTGAGTCGTGCGCAGAGTATCTCTGCTCGCTAATCTGAAGTGAGATGCGTCTTCGGCCACTTTCGCGTCAACGGGTTGTAAGCGTGAATATACGCGACGCCGCATCGCAGCCTGCACATGACGCGAATCGTTTCCACGGTCAGAACGCCGTTTCCCGGCAGACCATAGTATTCCTGAAATAACGACAACGCGTCGCTCAGGGAGGTCGCGTTGTCCAAGGACAACGACTGCTGATGATTCTCTTCGTTCTCCAGAAAGCCGTAGGTTCGCAGATAACAGGACGCCTCCGCGACTTCATCGTCGGTCAGCGTCGCCGCGACGGCGACAAACAGGGATATCGCTAGCGCGAGCGATAGCGTGACGCGCGTCATGACTCTCGCGAGCGGCGAGCGCGCGGGGGTCGGGACGATCGCGAACTATCGCACGCGCGCGAGTCCTTCGGCGATACTTCGCTCCCCGAGAGCGCGAGAAAGCGGACGAAGCAGACGGGAAGTCGGACGAAAGGAGAAGGAGAAGAGGAGGGGAGAAGATACGCTCGGACGCGCGAGAAAGGCAATCGAAAGAATGATCGTTTGTTTTTAAAAAAGAGTGATCCTTTATTCTTATAAAAGTTTTTCAATCTTTATCGTACGCAAAGAGATATATACGAAAAATACACGAATGGATATGAACTAAGGTACGAGATAACGTATAGAGCGACGCATCGTATGATCGCGCGAAACGATGTGACGCGTGGAATGATATAGGATGATACGCAGATTGATACGTAGAGTACTGTCTAAAAAAAAACGATATGAACTAAGGTACGAGGTAACGTATAGAGCAACGCATCCTATGATCGCGCGAAGCGATGTGACGCGTGGAATGATATAGGGTGATACGCAGATTAATACATATAGTTGTACGTGAAGCGATGCAAAAATGCGTAAAGCGATGCGAACGGAGATCGGGAGGGAAGGCACTGTCCTTCGGGCGTCGAAATCGGCAAGATGTCTGAAATATATAAAGTATCATATTAATAGATCGTACCGAGGTACACGGAACGAAAGAGCGCGTTAGACGAAAAGAGATACGTACCTCGATTAAAATTCGTCGTCGCCCGTGTGGACGGAGCTCATTCCATCTATCGAGCTCATACCACCGCTCCACATTTCTATGGAAGAATCGTCGTGTAGAGATGTTCACACTTGAACGCGTGATCTGGGACGTGCGGCTCCATGTCGAATAATCTTCGCAAGCAAAATATATCGACGAAGATGTTAGGAGCGCGCTTCTCCCATTTCTTGTAAAATGGTCGGTCACACCACAGTAAGTCTAAGAATCGGCGTTGCGCCCGCCTTTTCCTCTGCAGCCAACGCCGGTGGTACATGTTGATGAATCCTTTGATCTCTATCTCCTACTCGAACTGTAAAAAAATATCGCGCGATTAACGACTATCGTATATTTCTTCGAAGGAGAACAAAAAATAAAAATAAGAATTAAAAAATACTCACATTCCATGTCACCACTATGTTAAGAATCGCGTCCATGAAACTTTTGATGTGTTTCATTTTCCACACGTTTATCCACGTTGTGAACATACAATCAGTGAGTAATCTTCGAAGGGCTGAATCCTCCATCGTTCGCACAAAAAATAACACTGAGAACACTGAGAACACTTAATAGCGCGATCGCGAAACTTGTTCTGAGGAAAAAGTCTCGGCGTTAATTTATACCTGCGATATTACTATCGTCAGGTCATTATAATTCCGTCGAAAACTAGCGCGATAATCTAATGTGGTATGAAAAAATAATGCAACGCGGAAATGTAACGAGGTAATATAATGAGGCGCGATAAATTCTCGATTGCTCGAGGAAGTGCGGGAAAATGCGTTTAACCGCGTACGCGCGATACGAATTAACGCTTATTTCATAAGTATTAATATTATTTTTTCAAGTATAAATAATATATTTCTAGGTAGGCGATAAATCGACGTACGCGCGATAAAAAAGTTAGTCGTTAATAAGTCGATAAGAGTATGTAAAAAATTAATCTACGATGTGGGAAACGCATAAGGCGCGATAAAAAAATTAGTCGCTAATAAGTCGATAAGAGTATGCATAAAACTAATCTACGATGTAGGAAACGTATGAGGCGCGCAGATCTTTACATGTATACAAACGCGAGCGCGATGCGTCTCTATTCACATATCGCCCAATTGATCGCGTCTCTCCAACTACAAGTTGTGCAGTTTGCACACGTTTTCTAAGGCGCAATTCTTCGCGTGGTAGACGCGCGTCGCGAACGATCTGCCTCGCGTGCCTATATTCCACATATCCGTCGGTCCAGTGGAATTCGTGGTGATTCAGAGTCAGCCAACAGGCCTGCGACTTCTCGCTCTTCGTCAGCAGATTCCACGACATCGGCGCGCGAAAGATGTGATGCGTCAGATCTCTACCGTTCGCGAGTATCGCTATCTCCTTCGTCACGAATCGCTCGTTGACGACGAAGCCCTGCAGATCGACAAAGATCAGCGGGGTGATATCGCCCGTGACCGTCATCGCGATCATCGTCGAGAGAGACTGACGTTTATTCGCGTCTCTCCCCGATATCTTCGCGGTTTCGAGTTTCCTCTCTCTCCCCCCATTCGATGCGTCGTCTTACAGGATCTTACGCACGACGTTCGTCAGCGGATTATATTCCACCACGCGATCGTGAATGATTAAACAGTACGCCGTGATGTTAGAAGGAACATTGTCCTTGCAGTCGAATTCCAGACGAACGTCCACAGTGGCGCTCCTAACCACTTCATTTTGGCGGGAACAATCTATCACTAAGAGCGGGCCGCAGTATAGAAATTTGTTCACAGTCAGGAGCGTCTCGTCGCTCGCGGATCCATAATACGATCGTCGAAATCTCGCGTAGGCATCGTACAGTACGGCGATCTTGTTCTTATCGAAGTCCAAATTCATATCGTCGTACGGATAGAAGTCGGAATTGAGATACAACTTTACGTTGGTCAGATTGCACGCGTCGAATCTGGAAGCGTCCTGCGACAGGACGTTCTTCCTTCCGATCTGCAATGCGAAGATGACGTAACGTGGTTTCTCGAGCTGCGTGGTCGCTTTCCGGCCCACGAGTGTTTGGCCGTGCTCTGCAGAAACGGAAACTCGTAGAGATTCCACGAGCGAAAGGGCGCGCTCAGATATCGGCCGCTGTCCAACGCGCGCAACAGCGATAATTTATTGACGTCATTCAACACCACGTGCGACACGCGCCACTGTATCTTCGTGAGCTCGACTCTAGGCTCGTATTCCTCGCGCGATATCAGACAATTGTTGTCGTTTCGCGCTCTTATCATAATCAGCTCGTGACGCGCGTTGATGACGACGCGTTTGTAATCCTCACAGAAATCCAACAACGTGTCGAGAGGAACGCAAAAGTTGAAGTCGCCCGTCGCCGTGACGCTGCTCGATCCAGCCGCGAGATCCTATCCGGCGTTCTTCAAGGTCTTGCCTCGTTCAGCTGTCAATGACGTGTAGTTCTTGATCGTGCTCGTTATTCCGACATTGCGATTACGATCGATCTCCACGCCATCGAGTTCGTATCGTATCTTCTCGAACATAAAGGCGATGCAGTTGTTCACAAGCCATGCCGATGTCGAGGACGCGGACGACTCCTTAGAGGCGGAGCCCGGCTTACCCGACTCGCCGCTCGATGCGGGCGGCGGATTATTTTTCATCTGTAGTCTACCTTCGACGTAGAGGAAACTCTCGCACGGCAGTGTGTATAGGTCCTGCTGTTGTATGGGTATTCGTACGTATCTCGTCGCTGTATCCGAAAGTGGTGTTGGCGTACGATTGTACGTGTGACTCTCGATCTTCACGATGCGATCGTCAAAGACGGGTTCCCCGCCGATGTTCAGAATCGCATATCGTCGAACTATCGCGCGACTCTCGGTACGGCAAAACCTATGGATCGCAGAAAAGCGGCGTTGGCAACGGATAACCTTCCGACACTCCTCTCCCTCGAGCGCGCGACTTAATTTCCCGCGACGCGACTACGGTCACCGCCGCTGCTGTCGCGATGCGACGTCGTACCGTTAGCTCCGTTCACGACGAGCATCGTCCTATTCTCCCCATCCTCGTATCTCGCCGCGTTCGTTCTATCGTCTACGTCGCACGTGCAATCGAATCGAGATCTCCTCGCCGCGGAAATCGATCAATCGACCATCTTGATCGACGACGCGCAGTGATATGTCGGTCACGAGTCGCGCGATGACTGGCAGATAAATGATCTGCCTCCGGATTTCCGACACTTTATATCCTGGCGGAACGTTCGGCGCGAATTCGTGTATCGCGTGGGCGGATCTCCCGTTCACGTATGCGCCCGTCGTCAAGTTGCACTCCACGCGAATCGTGTTAACCGCGATAATGCTCACGGGCTCATTGGACGCGTACCATTTGTTCGATCATAATACGCGAGACGTGGAAAAACCTAATAACGATCCGATATTGTCAGGCTGAAATTAATTCGGTACGCGCATTTAATTTCGCTTCTCATGGTATTATCGTTACCGCGTAGCGTCAGAACACGCTCGTCGCCCCCGCCGCTCTCGTTCTCCTCCTCCTCGATGTCATACAGATATTTGCCGTCGTCGTCGCTGATGCCGTCGTCTTTCTCCCCGGTCCTCGCGCTCGTCGTTGCCGTCGCCGTTTTCGAAGAATCGCGACTCTCAGATACGCGCTTATGTCGCGCAGCTCGTACGATCCGATCGGGATCGTGATCGTCTCGTCGTTGTCGTCGAAGTAAAATTTATTGTTCGAGGAATTCACGTTCAGAATCGTGTTGTAGGTCTCGAAATTGGTCAGACGGAGCTCGTAACCGTCGTCGCTCAGATCCAGAGGCAGAAATTAGCTCTCCGTGAAAAAGTTGCTTCTCCCGGTCAGCGTGAGAATCAGCGACATGATAGCGCGCGATCACCGTCGAAGACCGAAGGGCTTCCTTCCTCTCCAATCGACTCGTCGAAGGAAGCGCAGGCACAATTGTCCGCAGACGCTCTGATCGTACGTCTGCTGAAAGTTGCGATTGTACGCGATGCGCGTGTCGCGTCCGAGATAGCGCTCGAGTTCTCGCGGCGGTTCAAGATTATCGAAAGCGTCGAAGTAGATAGCGTCTTTTCCCCTTTTAATATACACCATCCAATGCGTGCCCGGCCTCGAAGCGTCGTTCAGGTTCACGATACCGCTCTCATCGCGACGAACTCGCGCGGGCAATGCGTCGCGCATGAACACACCTCTGAAGTGACGCACGCGAGCGCGCGCGACCGCGCTATTCAACTGTTCGTTCGTCGTAACGCCGATCGGAGCTACGACGTCGTCTAATGCGCGCGGACGCGCGACTTTTTTTTTCTTCTTGACCGTTCGCCTACCTCGCCTCGCGATGCTTCCGCCACGCTTAAGGCGCAAGATACAAACCGCGATCTTCCATCGCTCGATTGTGTCGTTGCAGCTCCTCCAATTGTCGACGCGTGGCTTTGCCGTCGCTCACCATCTTCGCCACGCCGGCCGCTCCGCCGATCAGCGATCCCAACGCTCCGAGCGCCGACAATAGCGGCAGGAAGCCGCCGCGTTTCGCCACGAGAAGAGCTCGTCTTCTCATCCTCCTCGTCGCGGTCGTTCTTCTCTTGCCGCCGCCGCTCTTCTTTGCGCTCTTCTTTGCGCCTCTTTGCACTCCAATCATGTCCATTCCTAGTTTCGCCTTCGCCTTCATAGCTGCCCATACGGCCGACGCCGCTCTCTCGCCGAGAGTAGAATCCCCGGCCCGGATACGCTCGAACGCTCTCGCTCCGAGCGCTCGGTCCGCGACGTGTCGATCGGCAAAATCGCCGCTCCGTGAATAGGCGATGTCGTGCTCGCGGCAAGCCGTGTCCAGCGGATTAACGCCTCGATCGCCTCGCACGAGCCGCTTCGCGATACGAGTACCGGGATCGCAAAACTGATATCCCGGTATATATAGTTCGAAAGGAAGGGCGTTTATAGTTCTATTGAGTAAACTTCTACGGCCGACAACGGCTATCGCGGCGTCCTCCGCGTATCTCATACACTTTGATCGTCGACGCGCTCATCGTTACGCCATTTCGTTTTCCTGGCACATGCCGCAGTCTTTGATGCACAGCGGCGGACCGTCGATGTGCGTCTCTTGCCACGGTTGATTGTGATGCTTATGACAGAGACGATAACGCTGCACGTCCGGATCGTCCTTCAGATGTATGGGCAATCTGTCCCACAATCGATCGACGAAATCGCCGTACTTGTCCAGCAGAAGCTTCTTCGGAACGTACTGCAACTGATCGACGCTGAGTTCGAGAATATCGGAATCGTTCACCAATAGAATAAACATGACGAAGTATCGCGCGCGCGCAGGCGTCAAACGCGCGTAACTTTAGCGCGTCACCGTCGATCGGACACACCTAAGGCGCGATCGTTTTTCCCTCTATATGTACGCTCGTTGCTCGCGCGTGAGCCTGCGCACTGACGCGCAGGTTCGCTCGCGCGACAACGGGAAAGAATCGTAAAAAGAGGGAGAGAAAAAAACGATGCGTTTCGTGCGTTAGCCGATCGCGATAAGAGTGTCCAACGTCGACGACGCGCTCGATGAACAAAGAACTGCGAAAACATGGTAGTCTCTTACCGATCGCGATTCGCTGCGATAATCTGCGATCCCCCTAATTGCGGTAAAACGAACGTACTTATAAGCCTTCTAGAGAGCCCTCACGGCGTGCGATTCGAGAACGTGTATGTTTACTCGAAATCGTTGCATCAATCTAAATATCGTGTAATAAATAATGTGTTTTTATAAACACTTTATGTAGTATTGGATTGGCGAAACAAAAACTAAATTGAGTTGCTCTGAAAAGAGGATATTTTTATTAATCAAAATTCTTTTTACATTTTACATTACGTTTTATAGAACCTAACTACAAAGCTTACCTGAAAAGAGAAACAACATTAAAGCTATTTCACAAATTCCTTTACTTATTATATTAACCGTTTTTATTTACTTGCGCTTTTCTCTCAACATAACCTCTCCGTCATCCTATCATTGTACTACCCAACTCTATAAAGCTACTACCATTGAGCATAAATGATACGTCAAAGTTAATGCGCGGCAAATTCAAATTTAATGAAGTGCGATAGACTTAATTTATATCTCCCCCCCCCCCTAGGGATATGTTTCTTTCTGGTACCGGAACAAGTTTTGTCATGTGGAAAATATTGGATTCATATTTCTTATGTCCTGTGTTTATTCTGTAAACTGAGTTTGACAATTTTTCTAAAACTTTATATGGGCCAATTTTTAATTTATTTAATTTTCTTTTGTTTAACCGATTTCCGTTTTCAACATATATCAAATCTCCTACTTTTAATTCGCATTTTTTTCTGTTTTTGTCGAATTGTTGCTTATTATAGTTGTGTGATTTTATAGTATTTTCCAATGCGATTTTTCTATCTTGCAATAAATCATTATGTGTTATTTCCTGTTTCAATCCGGTAAAGTATCAACATTTTTTCCTTCCAATAAATATTTTGGGGAAAATCCTGTCACAGTGTGTTCCGTTTCATTATATCTTTGGGTACATTCGTGAACAATAGTCGTCCAGGCTAATTTATCCTTCCTCTCATTTATTTTACATCTAATTTTATTAACTAATGTTTGGTTCAATCTTTCATTCAAACCATTTGAAAATGGTGCATTTACTGCAGTGAAAATAATGGGTATATTTTCTCTATCTAAAAAGTTTTTAAAATCTTTTAAATTTATACCCGGATATTGATCGGATAGAATCATGCCAATTTTATTTTCATGTGTCACTTTTTGAATTAGCTTTATAAAATCACTCGAACTTTGAGTTTTTGAGTCAAAATATAGACATATCTCGTGAAGTGGTCTACCAGAAGGTGTAAATATGTTTTTGTAGAACCATCAAATCCACCAATGGTATATAGATATTATATGGTCTATAGATATTATTTCAAAAGGGTAAATAGCGGGACCCAAGTGAGACATTAGTTCAAATTTATATTTCCCTCTAGATTTGTTTTTTATGCAGATTTCACAGTTGTCACAGATTCTTTTCATATTACATGTTAAATTTTTCGCTGCATAGAATGGTTTAATTTTGTTTTTCATTTGTTGTATTCCTATATTGTTCTAGTCTGTAGTCCTATATTGTTGTATATGACAGTAAAGATAATGTATATTCTCTATAAATTTTTTACTAAATTCCTCAGTCAGTACAATCTTCTCCTTTTTCCCAACTTTCTTATAGTATATTTTATCTTTTAATTTTATTTATTT